TCCATGTTCATTGCAGCACTATTTACAATAGCCAAAAGATGGAAACAACCTAGGTGTCCATCAACTGAGGAATGGATAACCAAACTATGGTACGTACACAAAATGAAATACTATGCAACCCTAAGGAATAACCTAGAATCTGCTAAACACCGAATAATGTGGATGAACTTGGAGGACGTTATGCTGAATGAAATAAGTCAATCACAGAAGGACAAATATTGTATTAATGCATTATTGTAAAACCAAGGAAAGGTTTATCTATGGAAGGAAATTTTCTTTGTTGGTTACCAGGGGTGGGAGGGAAAGGGGAGGGAACACTGTTAGATAGGTAGACATAAGTATTGACTTGGGTGAGGAGAAGGGCAATGTACCAAATGTGAGTGATCAACATGGTGGCATTGAGGAAGAGGACGACATAGAGAGGTACATGGGAGATGCAGACAACAAGGATGAACCCTTTTGCACATAGAGTATTGCATTGTCAGTGAAGGCAAACATGGGTATACAGGTGGATAAATGGGTGGAGAGGCTAAACTATTAGGAATGTCTGTGAAGTAGGGAGTGTACCCAAGACCATGTATAAGGTTAGCAGACAATGGTCCTATAAGTGTATTTGTATGATCTATAAGAATTCCCAGGTGTATAGTAGAGCTGACAAGGGACAAGGTTGTAGTCACTTCTTGGCCACAGCCAGCTACCCAGAGGAACCAAGTAGTTGAACCTGTGGGCTTGGGACCATAGTCACAGGGGATATCAAGCTCAATTGACATAACGTACTACACAAAACATTGTTCCACCTCCTGCTTTGGTGAGTAGTGAATGGGATCTTAAAAGCTTGCAAGCAGCCATCTAGATGCAACGATGGATCTCTCCTCATCCAGAGCAAAGAAGAATGAAGAAAACCAAAGATTCATGGAAACAATTAGTCCTAGTGACTGGTACACCATGCAATCCGCAGCCTATATGACTATGAGACCAGAAGAACTAGATGGGACCTGGCTACCAGTGTCAACCACTTGGAGGGGGATCTATGTAGGAGGTCCTGCATAGACAGGGAGAACAATGCGGAACAAAACTCAAAGTTATTCAGGGGGGAAAAAAAAGGGACCATGTTTTCTGGTCTGATAGAGCCTGGTGGAACTACTGAGACTATGGCCCCTAGCTGCCCTTCAGGTCTGGAACTGAACCCACACCTGTGGCTTCCAGTCAAGCAAAAGATAGGCATAGGAGTTGAACATTTACCTGAGGTAGATACACTCCTTGGAGAGAACAATCATGTGAGAAAGAAGGGCTGTTTATGCACAGGGAGACAGCTCAGGGGGCAGGGGTGCATGGAGAGATGGACACAGGGAACAGGTAACTGTCGGAAGGAAGTGGGAGGGGAGCTGTTGCATTGTGGTAAACAGTGGTCAATATCATGAGACAAAGTGTATGTGAACTGCTGTATGGAAAGTGAATTTGCTCTGTAAATCTTCACACAAATCACAATTTAAAAAAAAAAATCAGGAGTTTATGGATAGAGGAAAAGAGTGAAAACAGAAGAGTAAGATTGAGCTATAAACCTTCTTATTTGGGCTATATCTTAAATCAAGTTTCCTCAGTGTTCTTTGTTCCTCCCTATTGTTGTTGTTGTGTGCCGTCAAGTCAGCCCTGACTCATAGTGACCCCTCCTTGGGTTTCTGAGGCAGTATCACTACGGAAGTAGGATTGCCCCACCTTCCTTCCGAGGAGTGGCTGGTGGGTTTGAACCGCCAGCCTTCTGGTTAGCAGTCAAGTGCTTTTAGCCACTATGCTACCAGAGCTCCCGTTCCTCCCTATAGCACCAGTATAATACCAAATACCTTGTAGTTCCTTCATGATTAACCAAATGTGTTAAATTTGTGAAAAGCATATCACTATGCTTTATGTACTTTGTATTTGTAAATACGAATTTCTAAGATAATCAATTTCCCACAGTTTGAGGAGTCTATGGCTTTTATTTACATCACAGTATAGCAAAAAATAGTAAAGCAACAGACTTTCATTGCCAATAATACTTGGTACAAGTTGAAACATGTTAGTTCCTTCATGATTAACCAAATGTGTTAAATTTGTGAAAAGCATATCACTATGCTTTGGGCAATCCTACTTCCGTAGTGATACTGCCTCGGAAACCCAAGGAGGGGTCGCTATGAGTCGGGGCCGACTCGACGGCACAT